AGATGTTTCTCAAGTTCCTGTTCCTTTATGGAGGAACTAGGCTCAAATAATGTTCCCACAAGCATCACAAAGATTTTCTTTTGGCTCTGAATTGATTATCTTTTAAAGAACTCTTATTCATAAATTTTCTTAGTTTTCTTCCAGTAGGACCTCCTTGGTATAGAATTAGAAAAATAGGGCATGACCAGTGACTCATGCATTTGCCTTAAAGGCATTAATTCTTCTTTGTATCTATTTTGAGTTTTTGTGTATTTTAAATGCATAAATTGAGAAAAAATGTTGCTTGTCCTTATAGTGGATGCATACTACCTAAATATTGATCATGTCTGTCAATTTTTATTTTATACATTCAACATTCCCAGAAGTGTACAGTTAATAGGAAAAAAATCTATTAAGACAACCCAGTATATTTCAGGGGAAATATGGACTTTCTTGAAAGCCTTCAATTTCTATATTTTTTCCAATCAGGTGTTTTTTCTGGGAATGGGTTATATTTGCTTAGATTACAAATGAAACTATATTTAAGATATTCAGCACCAAGTTCCTTTTTTTGTCCTTTTAATTTTTTTTATGAAGTATATTGACTTCATTGTGATGCATTTTGGATATTATACCAGTACACTTATATTGTGATTTCTGATTAGCATAACTAGAGATGACTTATTCAAAGTTAGTTTAGCTCAGTATCGTCTATGCCCTAAGGCAGCATGTACTAATATTTCTCTGTATCCCAGATGGAAGAAAGATCATTTCAAAGTTGATTACTACTTAGATGAGCAAATTTGTGTACTGCAGCTTAATTTACAATTGGAGAAGGTTAATTTGTCCATTTTTGAGAGTCCTCAAACAACTATGTTAAGGGTATTATATTTGCCAACATAGTTTGTCTAGGATTTTTTTTCTTACTACTTAAATGCTAATATATTTCACATGATTTAATAAAATAAGAATGTGCTGTATGTATTTAGCTAAATAAAGCTTGTACTCTACAAACAGTAAAGAACCATGAAGGATAATTTTATTTGTTTCTTTCTATTATACCCAGTCAGGAGATTACAAATATATATGTGCTTTGGATGGGAGAATATGGAGAATCTAATATACTATCTTTTAAAAGATTGCCCTTCACAAAATGTAGAGAGCTTAAGGCCTTAATGACTTCTTTGTTTTCTCCAGTTCAACTTTGTTTAAATTAATCTGATCTTGTGTTTTATTGAAAAGTTTCACTTCAGAAAGGATTTTAGCATAATTCAGTTTTTCGTGATTCCGTAGAAAGGGTCTCTGTTTCCATGTTACCATAGAGTTACCACAAAGTTACTACCTCCTTGAATAAGTACTCAAGAATCCCTCTAAATGCTAGATAATTAGGCACAGGGTTTTGAGGACAGAAGTATTCTTTTTAGAGGGATGAGGGTACCGGATGTCACTTAGTACCAGTCCTTTCAGTGAGCAGCTTGGGAACAGAAAGAAATCCTGGCAAGTCCCAATCAGCCTGTTTCTTTTTATTTTCAGGTGAACAGGTTGCAGAGGTCCTTAAGTGGCTTGCCATAGTGAAAGCAGACCCTTGCAGTGATGCAGCTTTCCCTTGGCTGATTGATTGGTTGAGAGGAATTAGCAATCTGTGAAATTCTCTTCAGAAGTAATTTTTCTCCAAGGGTCAAGAACTATGGTCACCATTTCTCTGGCATGATTTGCAGCTACTCATTTGTAGCCTTATCACCAGTAGCAAATATAACAACTGAAAATGGAAGATGATTCTGTGTTCATTTTTCTTCCTCTATACCTATGTAAATTTCTTGAACACCAAGTCAGTATGGCCACCTTCTGTTCTGTCATCTAGCTTAGTGAAACCTGAAATCATGAGCTTTTTTTTTTTTTTAAATTAATGTATTAGGATCTTGCTGTGCTATTTCTCCTTTAAATACTATAACTCAGAACAGCTGTATGGAGGACTGTGTATCATAGAAAACTGTGTTTAGGGCCAGCAAATCTTCAGTGGTCAGTAGGGATAGTGTATGATGGAATTCACTTAGGACGTGCATTGTGTGCTGTCTGTTGTAAGACTGAATCAAATTAACCCCCTCCATTTACCCCCATTTCACTTTCTACTCTACATGGCTGCTGTAGTTATTATCATTAAATTGTGTTACACTCCTGTGTAAAATCTTTAAATGGTTTCAGTACAACTGTAGAAAAAAATCTAAGCCCTTTTACGAGATTTAAAGTCTTTCCTATTTAGTTATGTTTTTGACTTGTCCCCTCAGAACTTTTCATGTATGTTTTAGAGAATTATTCGAGGTTCCCAGACATACCATGTTCCTTTGTGCTTATGTGACATTTCTCTTGCTTTTCTTCTGATTGCAATCTCATTTCCATTCCAGCTTTTCTTGCTATATCCTTTCTTATCTTCATTAAGTAACTCAGTAAGATCTTCTCCCCCAACCAGCCTAGTGCATGTAATCAACTCTTTTGTGTTCTTTAGAACTTTCTCCATACTGTTATCCCATGTTACACATTATCTGTTTAATTCATCAGCCTAGGATTATTATTTTGTATTTCCAGTCATCTACTCTACTACAGTGTATTAGCTCTTAACCTTGAAATACAAAATCCACTATAAAAATGATTATAAGAATCTTTTACCAAAGACTTACAAATATGCTATACATTTGGTAAATAGATAAATGGTACCTTTTGTATTATAGCTTATTATAAAGTATAAATTAAAAATTCATCTTAAAATTTTTTGCTAACACCCAGAAATGATTTTCAAGACTCTTGACAATGTTTCTGATATGGCAGTAATGTGCAACGTTGACCCACTTATTTCATACAGCTACTTCAGTTATTATTGTTATTCAGAATCCTGGAGTCTAAAATTAACAGTGGCTATGAAGGGCAGCAATTAAGGCCATTCGTCTTCGAAATGAGTCAATGTGGGTTCCACTAGTAGTTTAAATTTATATACAGAGGGCAGGCATACCAGTATAAAGGGTAATGGGGGCCCTGAAGGCATGTGTTACAAAGCAATAAGTCATTTTAGGGTTGTGATAGCAAATTATATTTTTGAGAAAAACGTTTTCCTTGCTATGTGAAGGGAAAAGCATTTCTTAGCAACCTCCTTTTGTTGATTAATTTTAAATTAAAAAGTACATCATTTTCCATGAGAACATTTATAAAATAGCTATTTCAAGCATATATAAATGACAATAATAAGTTTTCAACTTGCTAGAATTTGGATTATTTTAAGCTAATTGTGAGTTATAAGAGGAACTTCAGTATACCGCAGTATGTTTTGCTTTTTAAAGAGACTTTAGGGCTATGGAACCTCCTGGACAACTGGACATCTCTGATGCATATTTTGCATTTGATATGACTCCTCTCTGTCCTTGGTAAGGAATGCCACTTTGTTCATATTCACATTGCCAAACTTTTGATGGAGGTGGGTGAGATGAATTTGAAGGTCTGAAGTTTATCACCCCTTAGACTGTTGTTTCTGGCTCTAGAATTCTTTGAATTTCTTCACAAAGCTCTAAACTAAATAAATAAGCTGTTCGAAAGGAGACAGGTTATTGGTTTTTTTCATTAAAGCCACTGCTGGATTTTCATTAGCTATAATCCATTTTCTTTCAAGATTAGACATATAGGCCAATTCTTATTTTCCTGATTGAATAAACTAAGTATGTTGACTTGTGTGTGCCTGTGGTAGATGGGCTAAGAAGCAAAAATAATCATTCTACTTCTACCCCTGGAAATAAAGCCAGGAAAAAAAAATGACTGATACAAAAGGGGAGAGACTACTTCCCTTTAAAAAACTAGCGATTAAATAAAGTGGAAGTGGTGGGAGTGGTTATGGGCTAATCTGATTGACTTTATGCTTCAGCCTTCCTCCCCACCTTTCAATTGTAATTGTGTTTGAAAGCAATAGATACTGGAGGAGTGTATAACAGACCTCAGACACATTAGGACTCTAAAGCTTTTTACAAGTATCTACAATGAGTACATTTCATAGAGTTATTTTAAAGTTAGAGATTTGATAAAAGTCAAATATTAACTTCATTGTTTTGAATTGGATTACAAAGAAAGACAGTTTTCACCCTTCCTTTCTTCCCTTCTCTCCACCAAAGGTATTTTATAGTTGCAGGAAAGCCTAACTATATCGTCATTAGACACTGGTAGTAGTGGGGCTTGAACTAGGGTCGTAAGCTTAATGAAGCTGGTGCTTTACCACTTGAGCCACAACCTCAGCCCTATTTGTTTTTAGTTCTTTTTCAGATAGAGTCTCTTGTTTTTTGCCTGGATGTGAACAGGAATCAGTCTACAATCCTTCTACCTATGCCTCTGGTTTAGCTAGGATTATAGGCTAGAGATATACACCCACCTCATTTGTTGAGATTGGAGTCTCACTAACTTTTTTGCCTGGGCTGGACTTGAACCATGATCCCCCAGATCTCTACCTCTTGAATAGCTGGGATTATAGCCACTGAACCTGGCTCTTACATTTTTTTTAAAAAATAGATCAAAATCTATGCATTAGCCTTTCTCTGAGGCACAAACTTTCTTCCCTCCCTCCTTCTCTTCCCTTTATTTCTTTCATACTGAGATTTGAACGCCGAGCTGTGACTTGGCTCCCCAGGCACTCTACCATTTGAACCATGCCTCCAGCCCTTTTTGCTTATTTTTCATATAAGGTCTTGCACTTTTTGCCCCGGGCTGTCCTCAGACTGCAATCCTCTTACCTATGCCTCCCTAGTTGAGATGGGATTATAGGCATGGACCACCTTACTTGGCTTTGTCAAATGGGTTTGTTTTTCAAGCAGAATATATTGATAGATATTTCTTTTCATCTGAAAGTTTAATAAGAATGATAAAAAGGAGTATTTTTGATTATTATAAGTAACATGTTACATATTTTAGTGTAACATTTGCTTCCCTATTGACTTTCCTCATTTTTATAAAATTGGTCTAGACTATAACAGTGTTTCCTTTTCCCTTTCTAGGTGGCTGTACCTTTGATGATGGTCCAGGGGCTTGTGATTACCACCAGGATTTGTATGATGACTTTGAGTGGGTGCACGTTAGTGCCCAAGAACCCCATTACCTGCCACCTGAAATGCCTCAAGGTGAGCATCATTCTCCTTACTCATTGTTGGGGGAATAGTTTTGGAATATGTAGCATTTTCTTATTTTAGATTTAGTTGTTATGATAAACTAATTTTTTGTGCTACTTGGCCACATCCAAGAATCTTAAAGTATTCTATGCCTTTCTCATAACTTTCTGTAACTGTATATTCTTCAAGAATTCTCATTATATCTTTGTTTCTCTGTCTTTGAAACATATATACATATGAGTATGTTATTTTTTTAATAAAATCAAAATGATAGTCCAAAAAAAGAACAGAGTAAGTGATTTATTAAATAATCTTAAATATAGGATTAACTCATTTGGTACCTATTTAGTTAAATTATTTAGGTTTGATTGAATCAGACTGAGGGAAAGAGACTGTCTCATTCTCCTACTGGTGATGAGCATAACAGTGGCCCTGAGGGGAGGCAGCTTGAGACAAAATTATCAAATGGAGAAGGTCTTTTCTGAGCGAGTTATGTAGATAGTGCTGAGACCTTTACATTGTTTACGTGGACTTCATTGTTGTATCCTTTGAGTTTTAAAATTTATTTTCTAATCATTCATTATACATTGGTTTGTGTTTTCTTTTATTTGTGAAAAGGTATTAACATAGGATATGAATATGTGCATACAATTTTATACATTGGATTAATATTTGTGCTTTCAATTCTACATATTAGTTTGGAACTAATTTTATGTTATGTTTAACACTACTTTGTTTAATCATAAAAATTAAAAATGTAAACAAATTTTAAAATGCAGTACTAAAGAGAACAAGTTTTTTTCCTTCCAGTGTTTAGGAAAAAACAAAGCATATAATTATATATAATCATTATGTACATAATATATAATCTTTATAACATAAAATCATGTAATTGTGTTTATTTCTTATTTCTAACAACTTGTTTTAAAATGTTTTTAATATTATTCTATAAAATAGTTTGTAATTAATTTTTCTACAATTCAGAAAGTTCTTCCTACACTGAGTGTGAATTTAGATATGACTTTCAGACATAAACATTAGAAGTAATATGTCAATTCTGGTGATTGATGAAAAAAAACCTTACCAGTAGCATTTCTGAATTTTCTACTTAATGTGATTTATAAAAGGAAAAAAGCAAAGCCCAAGATCAAAACTCAAGATAACATGTCCAAATTGTGATTTATAAATGTATATAGTAAATATATTCTTTGACAGGATTTTTTTCTTATTCCATTCTGTAACATGTACATGAACCAAATTTGCTTTTTATTCTGAATTGTCACTTTCTTTGAGTAGGCACATGGATATTTCTGAGTCTAGACTGAGCCATAATTTCCTTTGCAATGTAGTAAATTGGTATTTCATAGTTAACATCCTTTGCTTCTTATGTTTGACCCCTACTTTGTCAGTCAACTCACTTAGTTTTGTGCATAAGGGTTCTTTTGTTTTTGAGGTTCATACCTTTTTTCCTGGTATATTTTAGTTAAAGAAACTATTGTAATGTTTCACCTGAATTTTCTCTGTGGTATATTTAGACCAAATTTTTCATGTAAAATTAAAGAGGGTAGGTTGAAATGCACACATTTTACTGTTTATCATCAGAGAATAATCAGAAAGATGTTGATTTATGGAAATGTTACCATTACTAATTACTACTGGCAGTGGGTAATGAATAGCTGAGTAGATAGTGCTACATGACCTTGTTGGCTCACCTTTGATGCATAGTTTAATTGGTGGTTACAGTAAAAGATGATGCAGGAGATGATATGCACAATAATGAAAGTGTTTGAAATTCACCCTCAGCCTCCAATTAATAGGACATTAGGTAATTAATCATGTAACAGAGGGAAAGAGGTCATGGCCACTTAATTTTGCCCAGTGTAACTGTGTTTTTTTTTTGAAGAATGGTTAGAGAAAGCATTCATACTTATTCCTTTTTTATTCTTTTCTCTCCTTCTTTCTCTCACTCTCTTTACAAGAGATACTAGTTTTTCACATTTTCCTTACGATATTCCTTGAACATTATCTGCCCATAGGTTGTAAAAGGGGACATTTACATTTATCCTATTAAATTTTTATGAATGATCATTTTATTTTCAAATAAATAGGTAGTCATGCTTACATTTTTTTGTTTATTTAATACATACTTCCTAATCAGCACAAAAGAAACAAAAAATCTCAAGTGCTTGGCACCTCAGTATTAGAAAGTCTTCTTCATGACATATATTTGTTATTGAACTCTGAAGGTCTTGGACATTGTTAATTGGCTTTGGTTTGTTGAACTTTTTGGTCTAGAAGCCAAGAAGGAAAAAGAGAAAGAAAGGATGAGTAAATAGCTTAAAATAAAAGAAAAATGAAGATGGGTAGAAGGAAAAAATAGAGAAAATAAAATAGTTTCTTCATATAAGAAGATACAATGGTATCAGTTGAAAAATGTTCTATAATTCTTTGCTCTTCTCCTTCTTTCTTCTTCTTTTTCCTGTTATGACTATGTTTGTGTGTGTTATTATGTGTCAGTACTGGGGCTTGAACTCTAGGCCTTGGGCTCTGCCACTTGAGCCATGCTTCCCAGGCCTTCTCAGATAAGGGTTCTTTCTTAGACAGTTATTTCTCAGGTAGGGAAGTATCTGGCATTGTTGAGATAGGGTCTCATAAAGGAGCCCTAATGACCCAAAATCACAAGACAACATGAGCACTTACTCAACTCAATCATCAAGGAAATACAAATCAAATCTGCAATGAAAAACTACTGTACACTCATGGAAAATTGACAATCATGATGTGGAGTGTTGGAGAGAAGAATGTGGAACAATTGAAACCCTCACAGACTTCTGTTGGAGAGTAAATCTGTGTCTACAACCCCTTTGTTTTTGGTGGTCCTGGGGTTTGAACTGAGGGTCTTGTATTTGGTAGGCAAGTACTCTATCACTTGAGGCATAAGCTCAGCAGTTTTTGTTTTGTTTTTTTGGCAGTACTGGGGTTTGTACAACCATTTAATACAACCAAATGACCAGTTAATCCATTCTTGGGTATAAATCCAACAGAATTGACTGTACTTGTTCAGACAAAGTACATGCAAAAATGTTTACAGTATCACAATTCATAATAACTCCAAGCTGAAAATGACCCAAATTTCTATCAACTGTGTAATGGGCAAATAAATGGAGATATGTTCATGTGGACTATTACATCATAATATAAATGGATAGTCTACTGTCAGTACAGTAAAGTGGATGAATTGTGCAAACATCTTGAAGCTAGACACACGAGTATGTATTATATTCCATTTACATAAATTTCAAAAACAGGCAAAATTAATTGATGAATTGGAAATCAGGGTATGATTATTTTCAGGAGGGGCTGAGGAGGGGGGACAAAGGAGTCTTCTGGATGTTGGTAATATCATTTCTTGACTGGGAGGGTACTTGTACAGCTATGATCAAATGGTAAAAATTATTGAGCTGTTCATTGGTAAGTTGTGCACTTTTCTGTATTTATCTTAGAAGTTAATAAAAACTGAAATAAAATAAAATTAGTGCTTACAAGGTTAGTATTGGGAAATTGAAATAATAATGAAAATATTATAGATTAGAATAAGAAATGCATAATACGTGACCTTGTTACAAACTCCACCCTTCGCCCCCCACCATGGATCCCTCTTCACACAAAAATATTATGTTCTTTGACCTGTTCGGGTCTATGTATGTTTCATTATCTCTACTTATATATTTCTTTGTCCACTTATCTTTTAACCAATTGGTCTTCTTACCCATTCTTACTATGTCTGCAGAAGTTCTGTCTGCTCCGAGAAGAAGATTTTCCTGACTGGCTTAGAACTCTTAAGTTTCTTCTCTCTTCATATCCAAAAATGCTTTCACCTATACTCTGTACAGATGTCAGTTGTTGGTATTATTGTAGTATCCTTTTAATATGTCTTTTTCTGTGCTAGACTTTAGTGTTTTCATGAATACACACCGTATTTTTTCATCTTTGATTTCCCAAGACATTATTTTATTTTGCCTAGACAAAAATGTCAATTTCTATAAAGGTAAGATTTACAATTTTTTGGCCAAAATTTAAATAGTAAAATTTTTTTCTTGTTAAAAAATTATTTGAGGGGCAGGCAGAGTGGCTCAAATGGTAGAGCGCTTGCCTAGCAAGCATGAGGCCCTGAGTTTAAATTCTAGTACTGCCAAAAGAAATTAATTGAATAAAAATAATCCCATTTCCTAAATGTATTATACTGAATAAGATTTAAATGTAATTTGAAGACCCCCTCACATGATTATTAACAATAGGCTTATATTGTTAATATTATATTGTTATAAATGATATCACCAAATTATTTTGGATATGTTTAAATTTTATTAATTACTACAAAGAATGAATTACCTTTTACATTTTTTCTCTCCTCTCTCTGTCTTTTGCTCGTGAAACTTATATTTATCTGTTATATAAATATAACATGCAAACCTAAAGAGAATGAACAATGTTGCATGGGAACTAGAAGTTGTTCTTTGATCTCAAATACATCTATGTGCCTGATCTTGTTTATTGCATATTCTTTTATGCTTATGACATTATGAAACAAATTTATATGATCATTTTATTGTATGTTCTCTTCTAGATCCAAGAGTAGGTATCATGATTGACAACTCAATAGATTTGTCTTTTGTTGTAATTATAATTGCTTTACCTTTTTAACAAGTTTCTGTAAAATAACTAATTGAATTTTAGTTTAGTCTGTAGAGTACTGACTGATTTGATAGTATTTAGAATTATGACTACATTATATCCCACCTTTAGTCTGCTACTTTTTACTGTTAATAACGTAAATCACAGTACAAAGTTCTTATTTTAAAATTCACACAGTGTGTATTATAAAAAATAGCTCTCTGTCATTAAATTAATCTGAAAACTGAAGAAACCATTTTTCCTCTCTTATGAAAGTTAGTGAGGTGTGTCTCAATCGTTTAAGACTCCACTAGATCTCAAATCTGAATCCATGTCAA